ATCCTAGAAAGACACTCGGTGAGCCCAGGGTGGAGCTGGGACCAGAACCCAGGCTCCCAGTCTCAGCTCCCTCCACCACCCCCATCTCTGAGGACAGTCATGAGGAGGGAGACACCTTCGCCAAAATTTGCCTGTTGTCCCAGAGTTGATGTCATATCCCTGAGCCCGCATACAATCAATCAAGGCTTGAACAAGTAAAAGGTAGTGTGGTTCTATGGCTCCAGTTAGGGTCTACCTGTCACCAGCTGCTGCTGGGCATGAATGGACACTCCTCAAGCCTTCCCCACATGGCAAAGAGCAAAGTCACTGGGCCTCTCCTGCAGACCTGGGCTTGGAAGGCCCGCCCACAGCTTGGAGCAGAGCTGCTGAACACAGAGGAAGAGACAGGTGCGGGGGATGCCGGACGTTCACTGCTTACTGACACACCTGTTTTTCATAATCTAGGGGTATACTGAAACTCAACATATTTTTAGCCAAACAGTGAAAACACAGTTGGGTTTATAGCATGTTAGTTGTTTTGTTTTGATTTGCCTCTTCTAGAAGGATTGCCATACTGGTCCACATTCTGCACCTCTACCCTTTTTTTCTCCCAGGCCAATACATGAACAAGGGCTGTAGTGTGTTGGGCTGATGGGAGTTCAAGGAAAAAGGAGTGGAGTGGGATATATGTGTGTGTATGCTTGCATATATGTGTATATACATGCATGCATCAATGTGCATACATGCTAGTATGTGGTGCACGTCAAATTGCATGTGCATGTATGCATGTGTGTGTGTGTGTGACTGTGTGTGTGTGTGTGCATGTGCACAAGCACCCATGCTAGCATGCTTTAGAGGGGAGGGCACCTCAAGGTGATAAGGACTGGGCAGAGGGAAGGCTTATTGAGTGAGTAAATGAATGAATGAACGAATGAACAAAATACCCAGCCTTGCAGTCTCCTCTGCATCCTTCCTAGCCCCATAAAGAGAGAAGCCTTTTCTCTACGGCAGGTGATGGGTGGCCTTTTAGCATTTATCTTCACCATCATTACACTTTATAGGACCCTCTGAACAGACCACCACCACCTCCCTTACAGAACTTTAAGAAGAAAAAAAGTATCGGGCTTACTGGAAAATCCTTTCTCTGCATTATTTGCTCCTCAATGACTGTGGAAATGACCCTGGGACTGAGGGAGGAGGGGGACTATGTAGGCTTGTATAACCAGGCACGGTAACTAGAAAGTTCTCAAAAGAAATCCCTAGCAATGAAGCATGAATTTGGGGCACATAGTGCTGTTAGCAGCTGGGTGGCCGGAGTGAAGTGTTTGCAAAGAGGACTGTGATCATTACTGGCATGGCTGCGAGCATGGCCCTTTGCATTGTGACTCTGCAGGGGGAGGGGAACTTGCTTTTCCAGCCCATGACTCTGGGCTTGGCTGTGTAATTTGCTTTGGCCAAGGAGATATTAGCAAATATGACACAAGTAGAAGCTTGAAAAGTGCTTGCACACTGGAGTTTGCTCACTTTGGGCTATTTTTCTTTTTTTAATTGACCAAAAGACTGCAGCCATTTGAGTGGCCCCAGCTGAACCCTCTGCCTGAATTGCTGACCCACAGAATCATGAGCACAGAAAATGGTGGTTGTTCTAAGTCACTGAGTTTTGAGATAGTTTGTTATGCAGCAACTGATAACTGATAAAAGGCTTTAAGTAAGTCATTTACTTCTCTGTGCCACCATTTCTTTATTTGTAAAAATGTAAGAATGTTAACTACATATTATGTATAAAGTACCTAATACAGAGTGAGATGCATCATAAACACTCACCAAATGGCTACAGATGTTAGGATCATCCCTGTTTTGGCAACAAAGAGAAGGAGGGCCAATGAGGTTAATTGACTTGGGCCAAGCTGGTAAGCGGGCTACAGCAGGAATTCAAATCCAGATCTGTCATGATCAGTGTGCACTGCTGTGATCCTACGTTGGCTTCCCTGCTGAGAACTCCCTCCCTCTTCCTCTCATTCCCTCTGCATCTTTAATTCCTGCCCATCTAAAAGCACCAAGCTCAAAGCTCACCTTGGAACATAGTAGCCCACTTTTCTGAATCTTCTTCCTTCTTGTCCTCCCTCCCTCCTTCCTCCTCTCAATCCATCTCACACACGTGCATCTCCTTCAGTTAATACGCATCCATCTCCTCCTATGTGTGTGGACGGCTGGCCAGGTGCTCTGGGAATACGGTGGGGAACAAGATCCAGCCCCACAGAGCTTTGGGGAAAGCTACACAGCCAAGCCCAGAGGTACCTCCCCTGGGAGCCCACATGTCCAGCACATACTAGGCTCTGTCTCGTGTTGTATCAACATTTTATATACTGCTCCTATTTCTCTGCCCAGATAACAAACTCCTTAGGAGTAAGACCATTTTCTTTCATGTATTCATCCCTCCCTCCTCCCTCCTTTGCTTCACTGAGCACCCTGGAAGCACCAAGGATGTACAAGACTCTGACAGAGACAAACTCTGAAATGTTCATGATCCCCCACTGTGCCCTCCTGCAGCTCTGGGCCCACAGCATGTGGCCTCAAATGCTTGAATTTAACTGAGTTTCTGAATAACTACTGAAGACTTAGTGTGCAGTCAACAAATGATCCTCACGGGGGGTGTGCTGGCACCATGAGGATCTCACTCTTCCACGTGCAGCCAAAGGAGAGAGCTGGGGACCCTGCCTCCTCCACCAGCTCCTGACGCCCCTCACCAGGCTGCTGTAGAAATGGCAAGGCATGGCTCATCCTGCTGGGGCCCCAGCCAGCCTGCCTGGCCTATGTCTCTGATGCCAGCGGCATTTTCATCCAGCCATCCTGCCCTGCAACCAGCACAGGGAGAAGTGCATGGAGTACCTGCTGGATTCAGGCCACTGTGCTGGGCACTGGGACCTTGAAGGACACAGAGAGATGTCACTATTCTCCTGACCTCTGACCACCACCTGGCCTTGTCCAGTATACAAACTGGCAAGATGAGCAGCCCCCTTGTCACAGATGAAACTGACAAGTGAAGGGACTTGCCCAAGGCCACACAGCTGGGTTCAAATGGACTCTTTGGGCCTTTCATGCAGTGTTTCTCAGCCAAGACCTGACTCTCAGGGAGTTTACACTCCAACAGGGAGATGAGATATAGACAATAAAGACACAAGAGACTTTGGTAAATCTGCCATAGGAACTTGAAGCTCAGAGGCGACAACATTCTGAAGGTGGAAGGGTTTGGTCTAAGTTTCAAAAATGAGCATGACACAAACAGGTAGATATGGACAGTGGGGACTGCAGGGGAAAAGCAGCAGAGGGGGGAGGTATTTGGTGTAAATAGAGGGCACCAAGAAGAGGAGCCTGGCTGGAGGTCACAGCAAAAGTTAGAGACCTAGGTAGGGATGCCTGGGGGAACCCAGGACATGGGGCTAAGCTGTTTTGACATTATGGAGGAAAGTGACCCATTCAAAGTGGAGCCTGAGGAACTTAAAAAGGGCCTAGATCGGGGAACACCTGGTCTGGCCAAACCCACTGCAGAACTCTTAACAGGACAATCCCATTCAGTTGCCAGGCTTGATTATTTATCACCACTCTTCCCCCACATGAGTATGTACAACAGCCTATTTCACACCCATCAAGGAGGAGCAAATGACGGTGATGAGGATGACAGTGACACTCAGAACTTCTGATACAGAATGCCTTTTTTTTCTCTTTGTTCTAAGCACGCATTGCATATAGGATCTCCTTTAATTCTCACAAGGATGTGCACTAGGCAGGTACTAGTATTTCTACTTAACACCTGGATTCAAACCCAAATCTCTGGCTTCAGAATCTGTGCTTTAACCCAGTAGGCTGTTCTGCCCTCCAGTGACCAGCTGATGGAAGGCAATATATATTCTCAAGTAGCAATTCTTCCTTTACCCTAAGAATGTCCCAACTAAAAACTATCCACAGCTCAAGTTTTGCTCCTTAATTTGGAATAACAGAATTAAAAGTTTCAACTTTTATTTAAGAACTCTCACCCCCGTTTTACTGACTGGGAGACTGAGGCCCAGGAAAAAAAATTCCTTGTCTAGAGTTCCGTAGCTTGCTGGGATCTGAGGCAGACTTTCTGACCTGAGGTCCAGGCCCTTCCACAAAGGCTCTCAGTGCCTCTGAGGAATTTACCACCTGCTGGCCACACAGGATAAAAACACAGAAAGATAACAAAATCGAACAGAAGGGGCTTCTCACAGCCTGCTGTTCTTTCCCCTCATACCAGGGATTTTCAAATATAATTTTAGCAACAGACTCTCCCCAACACACAGCCATACTTTTCATGAAAAGCTATATAGGGCACATAGCTATTTAAAACATAACCATTCTCCATTGTTCTGATTGGGGGAGGGGGGAGGGGCCTGGAGCTCTACCTGCTGGGTCTACCCCCCCCACACCTCTCCATGGGGCTCACCACACTCCTCCCTAAAGCACAGTCTGAAAGTCCCTGCATCATTGCCTCTTCTGTTTGTGCCCCCACTCACTCACCTTCTTGGATTCTAAAACTCATCTCAAGCGCAGTTAGATGTTGACTCCAAGCAGGTAATGAGGTCAGCTCTGGGCCACACTGTGATGTTCTGAAATTATGCCTTGCAGATGGCAAGGCAGGCTCACCCCATCACCTCACGTGATCTTTGGAACCGTGCTCCGTTTTGCAGATGCGGAAACTGAGACCCAGACAAACTGCCCACCTGCTTATGGTCCCACAGTCAGGAGGAAGGGCCTCCACTCAAGCCTGTGGTGCCTGACTTCAAAACCCTAGACATGCCCAGGCCCTGCCCCAAATGTACAGAATTGGAAGCTGGGACTATGAGTTATTATATCCTGACATGATGACCCACTGTCACTCAGCATAAAATGCAGCAAAAAATGGTTTGGGGTCATTCCAGACCTCTGTTTCTCCTCCCTTCAGCTCCGGGGATGAAGACAGGAGACCCAGTCCCAAAACAGCAGCGAGCCTGGGCAGAACTTACTGTGTAGAGCTCATTGGTCACCTTCAGGAGCTCCTCATGCATCTGCAGGCCAATCTCCTTGCTCTGGAATACGGAAGAACAAATGTCAGAAAAAGAGAAGTTTGCTGGCTGTATTTACCAATCTCATTTCAACACAGAAAGGTCAGGAATGTTTTGGGTGGGGTCGGAAGGGGTACAGAAATCAGCATAAACTTCATTGATCTACATGTGAATTCCTCAACGTATGTCCATGAAATCAACCCACAGAGAGAGGTTCCTTGTGGATGGGATTCTCTGGTCATATGAGTTGGAGAACCCTCCACATCACTTCCCTACCACAGCGACTCACAGTGACAGTAGCATATTGCAGATGTGGGGAAGCCCCACAGAATTTTTCTTTAATTCTATGTATCCTGGTCATACCAGGGTCTGAGTTCCTTGCACAATCCTCATTAATGGCTAGAGAGTGGGGTTCCATAGAACACAGTTTGAGAAACAATGATCTGGCATCCCAATTCCTCTTGAGATTAATAATTCTCAAGTCCTCCAGGAAACATACCAGGTCCTCCAGAACATGAGTCCCCAACCTCCAGGCCACAGATCAGTCTGTGGCCCATTAAGAACCAGGCCACACAGCAGGAGGTGAGTGGAGGGTGAGCGGGCATTACCACCTGAGCTCCGCCTCCTGTAAGATCAGTGGCGTCATTAGATTCTCATAGGTGCTGGAGCTGTAATATGAACTGTACATGTGAGGGATCTAGGTTGCCTGCTCTTTATGAGAATCTAATGCTGGATGATCTGTCACTATGTCCCATCACCCCCAGATAAAACCATCTAGTTGCAGGAAAACAAGCTCAGGGCTCACAGTGATTCTACATTACAGTTGAGTTGCATAATTATTTCATTATATATTATAATGCAAAAATATACAAATCAAATACACAATAAATGTAATGTGCTTCAACCATCCCAAAACCATCACCCCACCCTGGTCCATGGAAAAACTGTCTTCCACAAAACTGGTCCCTGGTGTCAAAAAGGTTGGGAGCCACTGCTCCAGAAGATGTTTCCTGAAGGCTTGTCTTCCTTGAATAAGAATCATCAGCTGGCACCCACTTGGACATAGCCTTCCTAGCTTTCAAGGACTGGTTACAACTGATGCCCTAACCTTGGTTGACTCCAAATTTCAGCTCAGGTCTCCCCTGTGCTGGTCCCCTGGTCTACCTAATCTTGTCTTACCACTGCCTGGATCCTGACACAGTGGCAGGTCCACACTGTCAAGGTATCTGTTCCAATGAGGGACAGGAGCAGTACAGGTTGGCAGAAAGCCCTCTAGGGTACAAGGCAAGAGATCTAGCTTCTCATTTCCACTGTTTTACCAACTGGCTGTGTGGCCTTGGAGAATCACTTCCCCTTTTGAGCCTTAGCTACCCAACCTATCAAATAAAAAGCATAAACTAAAACAAACTTCTCAAAGCATGGTCTGGAGATCATTGCAAGGTGCTATGCTAAAAAAGGGGGACAGAGGCTTCTAAGACTACATGCACTTGGGAAAAAGCTAGTCAAACAAAGATAGACAAGTTTTCTTACTGCAGGATTTCTCAGTGCCTTTTATATCCTTCCTTGCATGGAGACTTTCTAAGAAGGAGGTGTAGTGTGTAGTTTCATTGATCATAGTCCTGTTTCCATGAAGTGGCTTTCAAGATATTTAAGGACACAATTCAGAAAACAATGAGAAAATTATCTTTAGGTTCTGTGCAGCTTGAAGAGTCTAGAATTATTTAATTTATGATTGTGATTATGATTTTGATAAATATTCTCTGCTATAATCTGAAAGTTTATGTCCTCCCTAAAATTCATATTATGAAATCCTAACCCCCAACGTGGTGGTATTAGGAGGTGACGTCTTTGGGAGGAGATTAGGTCATAGGGTGGAGCCCTCATGAATGGGATTAGTGCCTGATACAGTTTGAATGTCTGTCCCTGCCAAATCTCACGTTGAAATGTAATTCCCAGCATTGGAGCGGGGCCTGGTAGGAGATATTGGATCATGGGGGTGGATCCCTCATGAATGGCTTAGTGCCATCCGCTTAGTGTGTGAAGTGTGTGGCACCTGCACCTTCCAGTCTCTCTCTGTTGCTCCCACTCCTGCCATGTGAAATGCCTGTTCCACCTTCACCTTCTGTCATGACTGGAAGCTTCCTGAGATCTCACCAGGAGCCTGCTATGCTTCCTGTACAGCCCGCAGAACTATGAGCCAATTAAACTTCTTTTCTTTACAAATTACCCAGCCTCAGGTATTCCTTTACAGCAATGTAAGAACAGACTAATACAGTGCCCTTATAAAAGGGACCCAAGAGAGCTACCTTGCCCCTTCCACCAAGTGGAGACACAGCAAGAGGGTGCCCTCTATGAACCAGGAAGCAAGTTCTCAACAGACATCAAATCTGTCAGTGCCTTGCTCTTAGACTTCCCCGCCTCCAGAACTGTGAAAAATACATTTATGTTGTTTATAAGTTGCCCAGTCTATTGTATTGTTATAGCTGCCTAAAAGAACCAAGACACTCTTCCTCTTTGCCTAGACCATCATGTTAAGTTTCTGTACTGATGATAAGAGCTGTGATCTCAGCTACCTGAGCAGCTGCAGCATCCTGCTCTCCCTTCCAGCTCCCTCAGCCTCATAGCTGGACCAGCTGCTGATAGGCAAAGGCCAGCCTTCCTCCCACCCTTGCAGAGATAAGAAACCCCTGAACCTAGTGGTAGTTCATGAAGGCTTAGTATCATAATGATACCTTTTCAAGCTCCTTCCCCTCACCCCCTGTAGCCCTTTTTCTCAGCTTCCAGGCCTGGCTTGCCAAGAATCAGTCCTCTAAAGGTGGTCTCTGCTTGTGCCAGACCTCTTAACAGACAGCAGAAGCCTTGGGGGTAATTCCAGAGACCTGTCTAGATCTCCTTCCAGCTCTGAGACGTAAAGAAAGGAGACCAGGTCCAAAACTGCAGCAAAGGGTGTGCAGAACCTTCTGTGTACAGCTCACTGGGGAATTTCAGCAGTGTCCTGTGATTTCTGTACAGGTACTCTATGAACCAAATTAGCTACCCCCATCTCCTATTCTCCATGATTCTCTCAAGTGAACAATCAGTGCCTCAGTTTCCCCTGTGACCCCTCCCCTTGCCATTTACTCCATCACTGCTGACTCCAGATTCTCTGACACCCTCCAGTGGCCTCCTCTTGGTCCTCAAACTCCCAAACATCTCTGACACTGAAGATCTTGTTTCTTATGTGTTTATTTTTATGATCTAACGTTTTACATAGGTAATAAAGGCACATGGTTAAAGAAATTCTAACCGCCAGCAGGTAAATGTAAAGAATAAGTCTCCCAAGGCTCCTCCTAGTCTACAGGCAATGGCTATGAAAAATTTCCTCTAATACTTTCTAGAAATAATCTATGAATAAACAAGCATACATTTGCATATCATATGTTCTCTCTTAACACAAATGGGAGCATATCATACATTCCTTTGCATCTTGCTTTTTTCACTTAACGATGCCTCTGAGAGATTTTTCTGTCATGTAACTATTACATCCCCTTTTTAGCACAGCTGCTTGGGATTCCATATACCATAGATATCATAATTAACTTAGCCAGTTCCTTAGGGATTGATATTTACATTGCCTCCAGTATCTTATTATCTCAAACATTGATGCAGTGAACATCCTGTGTCCTGTCACTATGCACGTGGGCAGGGACCCCATCCTAGAGGCAGCTCTGCTGGGAAGAGTCTTGTCTTCAGAATTCCCTCCAGCTTTGCCTTTTTGGCCCCACATGCTCCTGACTTCAGCTCCCACTTCTTAGTGACCAGAAGCCATGTTGTCATCTCCCAGGCCTCTCTCCTTGGATCTGTCCTGCCTAGGAGACCTTGAGCCCAAGGTCAAAGACCTATGTCTTTAGCTGCTGCAAAACGGGTAGGATCTAAATATCCCCTCATCACATCAAACGCAAATTATGCAAAGGTGAACTGTTTCCCCATCCCTTCAGTTTTGGTCAATGGGATAGTATCTTCCTGGGTTTGTCAACTGGATATGTAGGAGTTCTATTTGATACTTTTTAAAATTCCTCCTTCTCAATCCAATCTGTAACTGGGTCCTGTCTGCAAACTGCCCAATTATTTCTTCTGAGTAACAGGCAAGCTGGCCTCCCCCACCTCCCAGCATCCATTCTTGACCTTCCTACTTCCTAAGAGATCCATGAATTTGCCCAGGAATTCATTCCTCCAGGAGAGTTCTTAAAGGGAAACTAGATGCCATCCCAAATCAAGATGGTAGATTCTGGTATGTGTTATTAGTCCAGAGGTAAGTATGTGACTTTACTGGATGGAAAAGAAAGACTTCCATGGTCAAAGGGAAAGTTTTAGCTTTTCTACTGAGTGCTGGAAAAAAAAAAATGCATGTAGCCCATGCATGTAGCCCAGTTGCTACCAGCAGGGATCTTAGAACCAAAAGAGAAAGCAGACTTACACTTCTGTAGTTATTGATTAAGTCACTTTCAGCTGGGTTTCTGTTACTTGCAGCCAAAAGCATCCTAAGGGATTTGGTCCCATTTTCCACCACCAGTTCCCATAGCAAGCACATCGTCACTGTAGACCCAGATCACTTTGTTAAGAGACACCTCTTACCAAAATCCTTAGCTCTTGTCTCTCTGAGCTTACAGTCTGTTCTGCAGGCCTGTGCCAGTGAAATTTCCTGGAAATGGACTTATCCTATTCCTCTAAATCCTCCTCATTGTCTACAGAATCAAGCCCCAGCTCCTTAGCTTGACCTTTGAGGCTTTACACAGCTAGCACAGGCCTGTTGGGCAGCAGAGGGGTGACTTTGGGGGCCACAGAGACCTGGTTTGGGAGTAGGGCTTTCCGTATTCAACCTCTTGGCATCTTAACTTTCCTGACCATAAAATGAGCACCCTTTTATGTCTTCTCTGCACTTGTAAATGATCTTGTTTGTTTACTTGTTTATTCATTTATCATTTGTTTCCCCTGCTTCAATGTCAGCCCCATAAGGGTAAAGAGACTTTCTCTATGGCAACGAA